CTTCAAGCCTTTTAATAAATGGACTTTGGAGAGTAATTAGTGGCGCTGTGACACACTATAATATAGTGCTACATAGTGTTGTGTTTGTTCAATGGATTAGCAGCTCTTCACCCCATGAAGTTGAGACACTTGCTCACTGTGCCAGGCCTATCAGTGTTTCCTGGAGGCAAGCACTCGCTTGCCCACGAAGCAGGTGGCATGGTTTAACTTGGGCCTTGCGGCCTCCGAGCTTTGGCAAGTGGAAGGCGAGAGAAGATGAAAATCCCAGCATGACTCAACCAGCACACATTGGAGTCAGTTTCCAGAGAAGCCTGTCAAATGACCAGCGGTGTACTGAGCCAAAAAGAAGTGGCCGTGTTGTGAATTGCAGTTGTGACATGTTGTGACAATTTCGATGCTTTATATATATATATATTACTTGCTAGGCCGGCTAAGAGGGCTGTTTTCCTTTTTTAGAGATAATGAGTTGCACTTGTGCAAAGCGCTTTTGTCATTCTTCAATGTATGTGATGGCGTGGTGGTAATTCTTCGCCTTTGTTCCTTGTATTGTATCTTTGCACTGCAATTTCAGCTTGCTTTAGTTTTGCTTAGAATGTTCCTGTCACTAGTCTTTTTGTGCCTTTTGGCTGCTCGAACAGAAAATGGTTCTGTGAGGTTCTGTGTAAGAGTAGCCTATTGTTCCCCGCCTGTCAGGTGAGGTTGTTAGATTTTAGAGTAGGATCCCACTCCCACTTCCTTTGTCTTTGTCTCCTCGCCGCCTCAACTGCCAGCTCCAGATCGTAGTCCTCAACTGCCGTGGGCATTGCCGGACAGAGCGCCATCATGTCATATACTGTATACCAGATAGAATGTCAGAATAAAGCAAGATAGAATGTCAGAGTTTATGCCAGTTAGAATGCAAGTTTGCATTTGTAAGGTGGAGACTTCTTTTGGTGGCAGAACAAGTGCCGGAGTACCAGGGCCAAAGGAGGTGCATATGGCACATCAGACAGGAAATAGTTCAGAACACACACCAACAAGGACGTTAGAACACAGCCCAGTACATTTCCAGCCTTTATGATAGATGATGTATCAGTGCACGAAACAGACTTGATGCCAGAACAGGCGTCAGAACGTTTCAATCCGCGTCCGCCTTTGTCAGGCGAGTCTGTCAATACATGCGCCCTGCCTTCCAAATTGCCTTTGGTGGGGATCGCTCGATGTAATGTTCTTTTTGCAAAGCGTCTTACGTTTCTAGAATCTTTATACACGAATGGCGGGCAAGGATTGGGTATTGATTGAGTGTATCGGAATCTAAGGGTTGCGCGGTTGTTCCTGTTCCTTTTTCTTTTGTGTTCGAGCACGCCCTTTGCCTTAATGATGCGCGCGACAGCTGAAAATGATTTAGTTCAAGACTTCAAGATATAAGCGGAGTAGTTCTGAGGCCCTGGGTGCCTTTTCAGAATAGCCCAGACCAATGGCTCTCCTTGCAAGTGCCTCATGACTCAAGATGTATGCCACTTGTGTTTGCAAATAGCTGCGTAGGTGGCGAGGAGCTGTACCAGCCTAAGGCCAATTGAATTCACGGGGCTGAACGACTATGAGTTTCATTCCGCCGAACGAACACGCACCCGTCAGGAGGGTTTGGAAGGCTTGACTGGGTGGGGTTGCTGTGTGAGTTTGGGAGCAGTGGAGAGAGTTTGAGCACCATGATGGCAATCGTCATATCCTTTACACTAATGATACCAATGTTTGAAAATATTGGATGCAATGGATAGTTTGATATTGTAGATTCTACCCAGAACTGCTGGGATCCTAAACCCAAAGCCAAGGTTGGCGGCGTCCATTGATGCCTTCCGCGCTGTGCTAAGGCGCTGGAAGTTCTGAACAATTTGACTTTGTTCTTGCTTCCGAGCAAGCACACCTCAAACTCCCCCAAGGCACTATATCCTTTAATACCCTTTGTTTTTATACAACTGCTGACTTTTGGTCCTTTGGTTCAACAGCCAAATCACGTTTCGGGAGGGGCACAGGTCGTTGCCAACAATGATGTGGTGTGTACTCCGTGACATATTGTGACAGCTAGGGCATGTTGCGACACCAGCGCGGATGACTTAACTGTTCATTGATGCCTTTTTTTGATGTTTTTGGTTCTTTCATGTTCCTGTTTGGCCCTTCATGCCGACGGGTTTTGGTTGGTGAGCCATAAGCTGCTCAAGCAGTATTGCAGTCAACGGCCCAGTTCTTTCCACTGCCAATCAATGATGGACCAGACTCTCGCTTGAACAATTCTTTCACTGGTTCACTGGGACTTGGGACTTGTATTAGTTATTGGCTTTGCGTGCTGCATCAAGTACGAAGTTCTTTCTGATGTTGGTGTCATGTGTGCTGAGTTGGGGTTTGCCCTTCGCCTAAGGATTGCACTGTTTCTAACTGCGCTTGGCGCCCTTGGTCAAGGTGTTCCACTTTTGTGGCAACAGGACACCATGTTCCGTGGCTGGCTTTGACATGTAATGATTATCACGAAAGCTAGCCTTAGCTAGCTGGAATTGCTCTTGCTTTAGCAAGTTAAGTGACGGGGTGGACGCACCTCAGAAACCTCAAATAATTGATTAAATCAATCTTATGGACCCCCCCCCCCCCGCGGTTCGACTCCCCCCTGCGCGCGGTGAGCGGGACCACCAAGCAGCTGCAGCACACCAAGCATCTGCAGCGCCCAGCGCAGCAGCAGCAGCACCAGCAGCAGCAGCAGACCACCCAGCGGCGGCAGCAGCAGCAGCATACCCAACGCCGCGGCAGCAGCAGCCGCAGCAGACCACCCAGCGCCAGCAGCAGCAGCAGACGACCCGGCGCCTGCAGAGCACCCAGCGCAGCAGCGCCCAGCGCAGCAGCGGCAGCAGCAGCACCAGCAGCAGCAGCACCAGCAGCAGACCACCGGAAGCCCGGCTAGCTTTCGTTCACCCCCTCTGGCCTCAAGTCGGATTATCGCTTGCCAGAAGGTTCTTGCCTTATAGCGGGCTAGTCAGTTTGCAGCTGCAATAGGATGCCTGTTGCTGCTCGTGAGGCTTTCCATGTTGCAAGAGAAGGAGCGGTCGGCACTGAGCGGCAGCGGTTTTGCCAGATGGTGCTTGATGGCACATCAAGGCACACACTGCCAAGGAATGCGAGGGGGATACAATTCTTACATTACAGTACATGTACATGTTGAACAACCAGCACAAAAACTCATAGATCCCCATGGGAGCGCAGAATGTGATGCAGCACCCTTTGGCCTTGAGTGATTTTTTCATGAACAATTAGAACAAGGGCATTCGATTGTCACGACCACAGGGACATACCCAAAGGATACAACTCCAGAAAGTCACGAGTGTGGTTTGACAGGCTGCTTGCACTTGATGATTGCTGCTATCAGCATCATGGCAGCTTTGCTTTATGCACCTTGGCAAGGCAAACGGAAAACGTTTGGACCGTGGTTTGATTTGCTTGACCAGGCTGTTCAAGAGCGGTTCTTCCTGCACGTGCTGCTGTTCATTTACAATGGCAGCTGGGCAGGATGCAAATCAAGTTGCACAAGTTCCCTTTGGTTACGGGCTTTTGCCACTTTGCGGAGCCTTTTTGACAAGCACCGGGTTGCTGTCTCTCATGTACTGTGTAGTCTCACGAGTCTTGGAGCGACAGAGAGTATAAAGTAACGAAGAAGCTCTGGGGCCTTTGGAGTCAGATTTCTGGAACTGGCATCTCGGTAGGAACAACAAAGCAATCGGCAAATCAACACAATTATCAGATATTTACATGAGGTTCAGCGATCGTTTACCATCGCAAGATGTGGAGGGATGCTGGCGGAGGTCGCTCATCACACCTTTTTGGATGCTGCCTTTTTGCACAAGTCATTCCGGCATTCTTCACAGTTCCGAGCAAATTCAAGAAAATCATACTGTAATGCAAATCCTTGCTTCTGCCATTTTGCTTTTCCAGGAAAAGCTCCAAAATGGTTTGAGAAGGAGGATACCTTTTGGTTCAATGTTTATGCCATCATTTTCTCTTCAGCTACGCGCCTTGTCCACAAATTTTCCTAGGGTGTTTGTTTTTCATTTGTTAGCGGGCGACGTCGTTTGATGGTTTGTCAAAGCGCTTTCAACCTGTTCAGCTTGTCGCTTGACTAGAGCCTCATCAACGTAAGGAACGCCGTGGGGGTTTTGGCTGCATACTTGCAGATGCGCTAGCCGCAGCCTGAAGACAAAGCCCGGGCGGTAACTTTGCTGCGGATCATCACGCATTCAGAAGTGCAGCGGGTACTGGTACTCAGTGCCTGGAAAGGTTGTACGAGACCGGGCTGGGTCCTTCCAGGAGTGTGGTGCAGAGCTGCTACCAGGTGGATTTATCCAGATGACCTGATGGTGAGATGCAAAGCTTTACTCAGTTACTCCATCCGTTCAGCCTGACAAGAAAAGGGCGCAGCTAAACCGCCGAATGCTGTCATGTTCCTGAATCATTCTTCTCAGCCGAATAGCTTCGCTGCACGAAGTGGTTTGGTTGCCTCCTGTTTCCTCCTGCTGCTGAGCTTGCCTCTCTTGCACTGTGTTTGCAACTCTCGTTTCCTTTGCAATCGGTTTGTTCTTTTTCGTGTTACTCCACCATCTGTCATATGCAGAAAGCCGGGCCTGGCGGCCTGGCAGCCTGCCACTTTTCAGGCACAGCACCCACTGGGGTCGGCCCGTTGGGCCCGTCAAGGTCCCGTGGAAGACCCGTTTAGCTCCCGTCGGCCCGTCAGGCCGTTGACAGCCCGTCGCTCGTGAGACCCACATCTATCAAAGTTTAAACTATATAGGTAGCCCGGTAGCCCCAATGTCACAAGGAGTATGCCTTCACTTGCGAGTGCTTCTCTGTGCGTATCTGGGGTCTTCGAAACGAAGCCTGGGTTCCAACAGAGGTTTAAGAACCCTACAGACTATCTCACAGGTTCTCCTTAGGGTCCTTTAAGGTACCTTTTTTTTGTATAACTTATAACCTTTGTTGGTTTGCAGATGTTTACCAACTGTCCTGGTGCTTTGGTTTTCTATACCACGAGACTAATTTTGGATTACCCTGCCTCCCTCATGTTCCTCGGTGTGCACTCCGCTGGCTACTTGAGGTGGCTTTGTCAGGCCATTCCGGTAAGCAGGTTTCTCCCGAAAGGGGTTTGCGCAGAAAGCTTTGAGCGAAGACAGCACCTTCGGGAGAAGGTGACGTCTGAGCACGGTTGCTGGCTTGTGTTTGGCAGCACGGTAGCTAGGCAACGCAAATCTCTCACCCACCGGTAGTTAGCAGACAATAAGTGCCAACAAGATAACCATTAATAAGACCATAGGCAGTGTCCTCAAACAGCATCCTTACAGTAGTCCCCATGCAGGGCACTCCGATGCAAGGTGCTCAGAGAAATGTGATCCCGAGACCCTGGAGAATGCGCCTCAATGTCAACACATCAAGATGCGAGCCCCTGAGCCACCCAATCGTCCATGAGACTATGGATACGAGGAACACAGCTTAGGAGCCGAGGTGAAACGCCGGCGGGGCAATCGCAAAGCCCGAATGTGAATGGAGAGAGCGAGGGAGGGAGGGGCCGGCAGAGCCTGGCCGACAAGAACACCGTGTCTTAAATAAAACGCTCTGATCATTTGTTGAGTGAGCAGGGCGTTTGTTTTCCAGACACCCGCCGCAGCAGATATATAACTTCAAGATGCGCAACTATTTTAGTTCGCTTGTTGCCCAGACCCCTCAAAGGTGATAAAGGAACGCCAAGCAGCACATGGATGTTGATTTCGTTGTCAGCCCGAGGGGCCGGGGGCCTGTTGCCGCTCGGGCCTGTCGTTAATGCCCGTTGGTCCTGTTGGACCCGTCAACTGGTTGGCCCCAGTAAGGACAAGGTTCTTACTTGCGCACCTTTGCAACGTGAAGAAGGTCTTTGAAGACTTTACTGTGATGTTTGAATCATGTTTCCTGTTGCTTTCGTTTCGGCTTCCCGCCCCTACTTACTTTGAGCGCACGGTTGCTGTGTATATTTAAGGCGGCGCAAGACTTGTGTCCGTTTTCTTCTCGCTGCCAGGCTGGACACCTCCAAACGCGCAGAACTCCGCTACTTGTCGGCGCTGGCAGCTGGACGGCTGCTCGTGCAGGCAGCGGAGTTGGAGGAGGACAGGGGAGTGGGAAGTCAGAAGGGCTGAAGATTATATTCACGGGCCGGCGTTAGAATCTGTAAACAAATCTGAAAGACCTGCTAATTACCTCTTACATCATGTTACCATCATTGAGGACTCCACCAACACGTTGATCTTGTCCGAAGCGTTGCAGCACTTTGCAGAGGTGCTCAGTGGAACGGGCGGGCGGCAGGCAATTTGAGATGGCTTTGGTTATTGAGTTGTGGACGTATGCTTCCTAAGATTGGCTTTGGGCAATATCAGATATTGAACTTTCCAGGGGCAGCACTTGGCTAAATCTTCGCAGAGTAGTGCCGGCAAAGTGTTTTTTTACATTCTTGAATTTGTCGCAGAAACTTATTTGTCATACAATTGTTGCGTAGTGGTGCGAACTAGATCCTATTCATCCATACCATGTATGTTCAAAACTGAAATTGAATAATTGCACTGTACAGCCAGCGACTGGCAGAATCTAGCAGGTTGAGCCTCTGCAGCCCGTCCAGGCGCAGAGATGTGTTGAGCAATGGGGCCATCCCGACTTGGGTTCTGCTTGGGGTGATTGGGGCAAAGCTCAAGCCTTGCAGATGAAGAGGCGTAGTGATGAGGATGCATCACATGTCCTGCTATTTCATAGTTTGCTCGTAATCCATAAGGTCATAAGGGATTCGAATCTGCAACACAGTTTAGATCGCAGGGTGATGGCCAACTGCAAGCTGGATGGAGCAGTTCAATGGAAAGAAATGCTTGAGACATCGTCGAAGCTTTGTGGCTTGCCAGCGCTTCAATGGGCGGGTGAGACGGGTTTGAAGATTCCATGGTGCTTATTGAGCTGGCACGGCATAGCTCACGGGTTGAAGGTTTGTGACAGATCACGAAAGCTAGTGCCAGCTATAGCTGGAGGTTCTCTTGCTTTAGCAAATTTATGGCAAGTGATTGGATGCGAAACTGCCTTTGAGCTTGGGAACGGCAGCTTGCCCACACATCATTTTTGCATGTGAAGAAGGCATTCCCCTGCACATGCTAGCTTTCGTCGCCTCAAGTTTGGACTAAGCCCCTGAATGTGTCGCAAAGAAGCCATGGACGTTCCACAAACACATGACCGGGAGAAAGCATCCCTTTCACTTTTGCTTGCGATTGCATTTGGCCAGGTGAAGAGGCAGCGGACAAGTTTGAAAAAGCTCGAGCCGCAGTAGACGACGAAGGCATTGCGGCCATCAAGTTTGTACGAGACATGGTAAATACAAGCACGTATATACAGAGGCAAGTACAAGCATGGAGAAGCGCAAGCCTTTTAACAACAGAGAAGGACGGGAATCAATGGCATAAGAAACACTTCCATAATTGGAGGTGTTTGAAAAACAAAAAACACCAGTTCAAGGCACCAGGACACTAGTGACAATTGGCTGTCCACTGGCCGTGGCCATGAAGTGCTTCATAGCCCTGGCCTCGACGGACCTGGAATTTGTCACAGTTACCGGGTGGACCGAATTGACCACCGTACCCTGGAGCGCACATGACCGTGCAACATCATGCAACTGCTGCCGGCGAGATTGTATAGTGCAGATGTCAACTGTCAACTGGGACTGGTTGTCCAAGAAGTTTCCCTAGATTTGTTTTTGATGTTTCTTGGGGTGCCAGGGAATGGAGGCTCTCCGAGCTGCGTTGCGGAGAGGTGGCTCGTAGTGGCCCAGCGCCCCGTTCAACTCTAGCTGACCAGTTCTGACACTGATGCAAGAAGGCTCAGCCTGCTGAGCAGGTTTTGAGGAAGATGATGGAAATGAGGAAGGAGATGATTTGGATTGGATGGTGCTACATATTGAGCAGCTGTACTGAATTGGACGAGGTTACGGGGCTTTGTGCTGCATGGGACAAAAGGAAAAGGCCTATGGCGCACCCCTCTAAAGTCGTAGCTCTTAGTGAAATAAACGGGTTTGCCATTTTGCAACCCAAGTGGGCCCAACTCACTTTAGCTAAAAGTCTGCACATTTTACAGTTTGGCATAGCCACAGTCCAGTGATTGAGTCTGTCATCAAGGCACTTGCTTCAGTTTGTTGACTTTGCGATCACTGCGCTGGACAAATCCAAAGCCATGGAAATCAGCATCGCAGCTTGCTCCCACATCATTTGACTGCACGGAGCCAGAGACAGCCCGGCAAAGTCATGTGAAGCCTAATGACAACCCATTATCAATGACCCTCCCTAAGGTTCTCCAAGACTAAATCTCTTCATGAGGAGGGATCCCACAGACTAAATCTCCTCATGAGGAGAGATCCCAAAGGAACAGAGGAGTTTTGGGCTTTTGGAGATTGAAAAAGTAATTGGTTGGGTAGAGTGGTCTAAACGTGATTTTTGTGATTTTTTGGGAGTGGCTTTGGTATTCTGGATGATTTTGGAGGATTTGTGGCTAGGTTCAGGCTGCTGCCATGCACTTGACTGATACAGATTTCAGTCATAGGTTTAAGTCTGTCAGGGAGAGGGTATATGAGGTTATGAAAGGTGGCATGAGGCAGGTGGCTGTGACCAATGGGGCACTTGCCATGAAGACACAGCAACTTGCAGAGTACAGTGACCATGCCATGGAGAAGGTGATCCAGAAGAATGCTGAGGGCAAGGCCAATGAGTTTCACAGAATGAACGACGGCAAAGGCATGAGCCAACAATGAGCCAGCATGAGCAAATGGTTTCTTGGGAGCCATTTGGAGTTTGAGAAGGGGAAGAAAATGTGAATTGCAATAGGCCCATATGATATGAGGGATTGGTGAAATTAAAGTGAGGTTGAAGAAAGGGAAGAAAGGCTGTTAGTATTGCCAAAATATTGGTTCCAAGGAAGGTGGAAAAACCAATCGGGAGGTTGTTAATTGTTGCAATTGATAATCACGAAAGCTAGCTGTAGCTAGCTGGAGTCTGTCTTGCTTTAGCAAGGAGGGTGGGAGCCCAGGAACTGAGTGCTGTTACCTGATATATCAGGACTATACCCCCCCCTCGCGGGGTTCAACTCCACCCTTCTCCTCCTCGGTACCTGCTGCTGCTGCTTGGTCGCTTGGCTCTTGGCTGCTTGCTGGTTGCTGCTGCTTGCTGCTTGCATGCTTGCTGCTTGTATGCTTGCTGCTGCTGGATGCTGGCTGCCTGCTGCTTGTTGTCTGCTCCGTTTTGCTGCTGTTGCTGTTTGGGGTTGTTGGCTGCTGTTGGTGCTGAAGAAAGCCTATTCGTTAGAACCGAGAGTAGTTGCATTCCCTCTCAGTCGTGAAGCGATGCTAATTTCATTATATCCTTAAGAAGCTTGTACAGGCATGTACCCACCCCACAACCCCCAAGAGTACAAATCGGAATGCACTATCCGCTATCCATGCAGATCAAAAGATGATACTTCCTACACACATGAATGAGAGAACCCAGTAAGATGTTTGAACGGGCTGTTTGCTTCACTCATGGTAGTCCGCGTTCCATGTTCGAGCGACAGGGAGCATGCACAAGCGTTGCGACGGAGTCTTCGGTCGCTGACACATGTTGGCATGCAACCCCTAGATGTCAATCATGCACACCGCTGCTGGCTGCATCGTCAGCACGAAAACAGATATATCAGATATATCTGTCTTTCCGCGTCGCCCTTCTACAATTACTCAAGCAGCACCTATATGTGCTACTGTTCGAGACCAAATGTTGGTGCACGAAAGACTCTAAGGAAAGCTCACTCTTTCCCTGCTGCTGCTGCTGCTTGGTAGCTGGTGATGCTGCTTGGTAGCTGCTGCTGCTGCTTGGTAGCTGCTGCTGCTGTTGCTGCTGCTTGGTAGCTGGTGCTGTTGCTTGGTAGCTGTTGCTGCTGCTGCTTGGTAGCTGCTGCTGCTGCTGCTGCTGCTTGGAAGCTGGTGCTGCTGCTTGCTAGCTACTCCTGCTGCTGCTTCTGCTGCTGCTTGGTAGGTTCTGCTTGCTGCCGCTGCCGCTGCTGGTTACAGTTATTGTTGTTGTGGCTGCTGCGGCTGCGGCTGCGGTTGGTGGGGTGGTTGTGTGTTGCCATGTGTTGGCTGTGTTGGGGTCGTATTGGGGGGGGCGCTGTTGGCACTCTCCTTTTCCCTTGGCCATGGCATGCTCCGATTCCCGGCCAGGCTTTTGCTGCCGGGCCTAAAGAGCCCCAGCGTTGTTCCTTTGCCTAGCTTTCGCCACTCCCCTCTGGGCCACAAGTGGGCGTATATGACATCGGGTCCATCAATCCAATTCAGCCGTTTGTGCAAGTCCCACGCCCTCCCCTCCACACCTCCTGACCTGTTTGAGGAATGGCTGCGGCGTGCTATTATCGCCTGGCGTTCATGCTTCTCCTTGACCCTGGCAGTCAGATACCTCTCGCAAAGCAACCGCTTCAATGCTTTGCAAGGCACATGGAGAAGCGTGCTTATTAAGGGCCATAAGGATTTGGCAAAGCCATTGTTTAAGACCGCCAGGTTGGCTTCAATGACAGAGGGTATGGACCCTGTTGGAAGAGGTTCAGCCAGTCACGACTCATATGCAGGGATCGCATTCCAGTAAGCACAACCATGAAAGACCCAGACAATTGACAAATGTGCTGAGTTTGATACTCTTTGGGAACTTTGAGAAGAGGTGTCATTAACCATCGGACCAGTAACACTTGCTTTGTCCGGATCATCATGAAACCTGAAAAGAGTCAGCACATGTTGTACAACCAGAGGCGGTCTCATGCAAACGTCACAGGAAGATAAAGGAAAATCATGCATGGTCTCATCCAAGATTTAGCTTCTTGGGAAGCTTGTTCTAAGCTGTATTGATTGCTTATGATTCGGGCATTGCACAGGTTTTGTTTGCTGAATGTCATCGGAAGGTTGGCCAACAATTTCCCGCAGCACCCACAACTCAAAGGAAACTATTCCTTTGACGACTGGGGAGGTGTGGAGAGGACTTGAAGGAACAAGCACCTGTAGGATGATCCATGCACACGTTCCATAAGTTTCCCGCCTTGGAGAGAATAATTTTGTAGAATCGTTCCCTTTTGTAGGCGATGCTTATGCAGCTGGCTGCCGCCTGTTGGGAAGTCCATTCGAGCTGCTCACTGCCCTCAGCCACTCAACTTCGGAAGGTTTCTTGGATTTTCAAATGAATCTGACAGTTTCTACTTAGTTCGCACTACATTGGTGCGGCCTTTTGCGCAAATCCTTCCTTTGCCAAGGATCAACAACCCAGCTGCTGGGCTCCAAAGGTTTGCTCCTCCCTCCACCCCCGGGCAGTGGTATCTCAACTGCAGCAAAGCCATGCAACATAAATTCTCATGATCAAGACCTTCCTGTAGCCTGTGTGTGCATTAGGCTCGGGGGAGATTGTCGAGCACTTGCCATCAGAGGCCACTGAAGAGGAGCTGGCCACTTTGGCAGAGGCACCTCAAGATGATGCTCTAGAGAATTCGCCCGGGGCAAATCGCTTAATTATATATATAGTATATATATATATATATAATCAGTTATAGAGCTGTCATCACGTTTTGGCATGTTTTGGCTGGTAGTAAGGCAGCTGGTAGTATATAATTAAGGCAGGCAAAGTGCCCCAGGATAGCTAAGTTACTAAGCAGTGGCCACGAGATGCAGCTATCGACTTGACATTGATTGATTGATTGATGGGTATATATACAAGCCTTGCAACTGTGGCTCTTTTGCATGCTTTTGCCATCGCTCAGTTTCCACAAGGCCGCCTACATCGCTGCTGGAGCGGAGGGGCTGTTGCCAATGGGGGAGCTGCAGATGCACTTGGCTCGTCGCATGCAGTCTACAAGCAGGCTGCAACACACACGGGGCATGTGGGAAGAGAGGAGCCTTCGCGCCTGTCGATTTGGCTTGTAGCGAACAGATGCATCCCCATTCAAGCCATGGATCTTGCACATCAGTGTCACAGTGTGCTGTGATGCATCCGCTCGGCAGATAGCACCGTTCAACGAAGACAGAACGACAATGATGGACGTGTGGTGACTGTGCAACATTCGAGGAAGGCAACAATATACTGGATACTACAAATGCACTCTGAAACAAGCAACTATATAATACTAGAGAGTCCGACCATCCAGGAAATGATAGGGCACTAGAAAATCCCGTTGGAATTGCGGTGTTTGTGTTTGTATTTGTGCTGTTTTCATTCTTGCACCGCTATCGCAGGGACCCAATGGCTCACCTGAAAAAGGCCACTGAAGTGTTTCAGGCATTGAGCAACAATGGTTGCTTGGCGCATGAAAGTTGAGTCAAGTCTCATGCATTCTGAAGCATAGCATGACAATAGTTTCATTAGATGTGCATGATGTGCGCTCGCCAGTTCAGTACCGGAATCCTCCTGCTAGAATTGTCACACGTGTAAAGTTCCAAGCCAGGCTGGTCACCTTCAAATGTTTTTGCTATAAAGCACAAACAATGATGAAAACATATTCTCAGGTCCGGACGACAAAGCCATTGCCTGGTACAACATGGCCTGCGTCGCTGCTATGGCTAATAGGCCCGACTATGCGGCCAAGGCTTTGAGGAGGCTTGCTTGCAACAACAGGTGACGGGCCATGACATTTGTCTTGGGATGTTTGGGGTATTTCATTGTATTTCACAATCAAGCAAGATAGAAGTGCCCTGCAGAGTTCGTGCTGCATGGGCTGGCGCACCAAGATCTCACAGAACATACGGATATAATCTGATATACAATGATATACAGTACATATATATATAGAGATACTTGGACACGGGCTACCTGGGCCACCGGGACTTAGAGGGTGTGCAACAAGATTCGAGCGCCCAGTGCAAGTCAGATTTTGTTGCCCCTATCACTTGTCAAGCTCATGGCGACCAAGTGGAGACAATTGGTGGCTTAAGGACATGTTTGCATGCTGTGGAGCCATCGCAAAGAAGAAAGTGGATCGAAGAAGTTCGGGAAGATGGGGCACCCTAGCAGCCTTAGCTGTCCATCAATATTGTTGTATGTCCATTTGGTGGCATTTCAATTGGCAGCCTATCATACTGAGGATTTGCAACCTCTTCTCAATCTTCCCGAAATACAAGCCGCATTGGAACTCGAAACCGGTGGTTATCGATAATATATTAATGTATAACTAAACATATATATATATATTTGTATAAAGCATTTGGAACCGTATACCGGTGGTTATCGATAATGTATTAATGTATAACTAAACATATATATATATGTATAAAGCATTTGGAACCGTATGGTTCATTATTTGTTCTATAATTAGAATTCAATGCTAATAGAAAATTATACATGATGGATATTAACTTGGAAGCATAAAGCCGTCAAGCCGAAAATTTAGCAAAAGGGCGTCTAGCAAAAATTTTGGAACGCAAGTGCTCAGTCAAGCAAGCAAAACATCCCACCGGCCGGACTGGAAACTGCGCACGACGGAGCTCGAAATTACTGCAGCGACTGCTATATACATGTTTCTGCATTAACTTCTGAAAAATTGATATTGTTTTTATATTTATATAAATTAGTGTTTTACCACAGCGTTTGAGGTTTTCCAAGTAGCAATATTTTACTGCGACACTAGAATTGTGTAAGGCTTTGATAGCATTGCACTCTGTTTGGCGATATTTGTGCACAAGTCGCCATCGCCAGGCCATAGTGTACACCATCAAGAACCATGAGCCATGAGCTTTCCGCTCATGGAAGAAGGAACACCTTGGCTGATACTCACAAATTCATGACAGGAAGTCTGAACAACACGATGCACTATAGCGTTGCATCCATGGAAATGGCCAATTCCAGACACCTTAGGAAGCCGGAGTTATGTGAACATGTCCATGAACACCTTGACAAGATCTAACAAGCCCCTCCCCAAAGAAGGCGTGTCATGCACAGAATGGCAAAAGAAACTCAGAAGCCCGCGCGGTTCTAGGTGCGCTATTATACGTTACTAGTAGCGATGCCCCTGTTACTAGTAGTAAGGGCCTCCAACCTAATAGCGATGGCCTCAACCTTTCCGAGTAGCAAAGGCATGTCTCTTTGAACATTCATTCTTCGCGTAGTCGGTCGCCGCAATGTGATCCGTCAGCAAAGTCTTTTCCCTGAGTAATGGATGTTAATGAATGGTTTGGGTATGTCTGAGTTGGTGGTTTGGAATCGAAAACCCTCCGAAAGGCATTGCCATGGATTATGGCGAAAAAACATATATATATATATATATCCTGATGATTCCTGATGTATCCTGAGGATCTTCCAAATGGCCAACTCAAACCACTCACTCAACCCATTGAGACGACGAACTTGTCCGCCGCTTCCTTAGCCTTGGCTCTTTGCTGTTGCAATGACGAAGCTCTTCGCAGCGTTGATCCTTTGCTGGGGTGGAGCCGTTGGAGCCCACGGATGGCCACTGAAAGATGGGAACAAACCTGCATCATTTGATTGCGACCCTTGGACTTTTTGAGTGTATGGATTTTTCCATGAACGAGTGCTTTTTAGTCTTCAGTCACAGGATGTTGCAAACTCTCGAAAGTTCCTGTGAACGTTTTTGTGCTTTGCATTCCTTTGCAACATCCACTTGTTTGGTGTCCATATGACGTTTGTTGGCGAAAACCAGTTTCATCCATCATGCTCCAGTGACCTTGTTGGCTCTAGAATTAGATCAGGAGTGGCGCAAATTGGCCTATGCCTACGGCAGGTCGCTGGAACGGGAGAATTTCAGAGGGGGCCAAAGGTTGGCCTGGGCGGCCTCGGTGTAATATTCGATCATCTTCGGCTCGGAACGGTTTCCAACATGTTTCATGGCAAAGTCTAATCACACTCCCACATCCACATCCATGAACCCGACATGACGCGATCCCTTAAATCTGACGTGGTTCTTTCCCGGGTTCTCATCAGTGGATGCCAGGAAGTTGCTTCCACGCATGGGTACCTTCGAGAGTCTCTACTACGCCTTGGATTTGAACAGCGACAGTTGTCACATGGACATGGAGGCGATCAAAAGTCTCCCTTTTTTTGTATGACCGAAATGCTGCTCCGCTTTCCGTGTTTTTCCGAACTGGTTGACCCACGGCCCCATGTGATTTGCAATTTTGTCTTCCATCGCATCCACATTCAACATCTGCTACCTGTTACCCAGCACCTGCTTGTGACCAACCCAGCAGATCCGATGAATCCGGATGGGCAGGATATCTTCAGTCACACGCAGGAACCAATCATTTGCCTGCTTGACTTGGGACATCTTTGGACCTTGTACTGTACTTGTTCATCTTGTTCTTTTCTCACGATTCTCTTTTTTTTCCGCAACTGTTTTGGACATAGGGTTCATATAGGGTTCATCACATCCAAGCGTAAATCAAGAGCGTGGGAGAGGCATTTGGCCAAAAAGGCCAGTAAAACCAACACATGGCAAGTGGCCCTCATCCAAATTAGGTTGATGTTATTTTTGCTGCTAGCCGCTGCCCCTGTACTAGGGGCTCCTGGCATCGCTACTAGGAGCAAGGACGCTACTAGGATCAAAAAGCCGCTGCCCCTATAGGTTGGTGGATGAACATTAATAAACATTACGTTGGGCAGGGTTTTGCCCATTTGGCCCAGACACCCTCCGTGATCATTTGTGGATAGTCCTTTTTGTTGGCTTGATCCTGTGTGATGACATTGTTTCAGATCGTATTTGCAATGATACGACTGCATAGTACAGTTGCCTTTCTTTTGATGTTTCTTACTCAGACTTACAGTATGTAGTTTGTTTTTTAAATATATGAAGCACTATGTTCTTTCAATTCAGTTTGACATACTGTCAACTACCAATCAAACTACTTAATGTTGCTACTGCTTATTGTTCATTCAGTCTGGGGCCTGCAGCTGCCAGGCGGTTGCTACACCAGCCAGCGACCCTCAGCCCAGCGACCTGCAGCCACGTGACTGGCGCGACACGGCAGTGTTCGTGGACGTGAATGGGGATGACAGCCAGGCGGCCGGGACATAATCAGACTCAGAATATCCACTAGTCATCAATCCTCACAAGAATCAGAATCATCAAGCATCTTGATAAACATAATAAACATCATCAGTCATTAACGTGTCATCACTGCAATCGTCATTACTGTAGTCATTACATCGGCAATGGTCACTTTTTAACGTATTTAGGCATTAAAGATCACCGCATATCCCGGCAATCATAATTTAATCAGCACTTTTCTCGGCATTCATGCTTACATAGTGGTAAATTTCATTACTGTAAGTGTCTCAGTAGTCATAGTTGACACAGAACATGAATCGTCAATCATAATCGCAAGCATCATTAGTCAACAATCAGCACTGCAATCATCCTTGGTCATGAATCACCACAGCAAATTACTGTAATCATAAATAACTATTAACGACCTCGGCAATCATCATTTGTCATTAAACATCACTATAATGATGAGTAAGTGAATCACCAAGGAATGTAATCATCATTAGTCATTAATCATAACCGTATACTGTAATCCTACTGATCAACACTGGAAGCATCATCAATCATACATACATTAAACTGGGATGCTTTGGCGTCCCCTCCATTCTTGAAACCCTGTATAGATGACTACATGGCCATGGTTTGAAACCAACTACCCCGAGATGATGAGGAACACTTCCAGCCTAATAGAGACTGATTTGTTCAATTTTGGAACGTTCACCAGGGTGGGTTTAGAGCCACACCCATAAAATCACCATTGATCATCCTGGAGTGGTTGAATATGTATTTTTCATGGGAGTGCATCCTATCGTCATTGTGTTTCGATTGGGGAGACGCTCCAGGAAAGAAAGGCCCATCCACTCTGAGTCTTTTACTGCAAATTTTACACAGTTCAATTTCATTTTCGATCTACTCCAGGTAGAAATCAATGCTTCACGGATTGAACTTAATTACCGGTCCAAGTTGTGAAACAAAAATGCACTGAGCCAACGTAATGACACAATGTGACTCAAGCAGCTGGATTTCAGGGGTATCCGATGCACAGAGCTGCAACTTCTGATAGCAGGAAAAACGATTTCCGCGCCATCCCCTTCCTGTGTTTTCCGCTTGACCTAGACCAGGTGGGTAGCGAGAACCATCCAGTGCGTTCTCTCCAAGTGGCTTGTGATCTCGCCATCACAAGGGGTGCGGAGATCCCCATGGTGGTGCTGCGTGGTGGGACGCACTTCTTGATGAAGACCCTGATGCTGGGTCACCTGAATTGAACAGTTCAGGTTGATACTCATCAGAAGGCTATTGCGTTCGTTTCATCAATGATCTTTTACTCGTGGGTCCAATCTTCACTTCTAATATATACTGTGTATATATATATATATATATAATCACATCTGCATAATTGGCCTTTGGGCTCTTGATGAGCATCACCTCCATCCTTTGGGCTTAAGGACCTCAACACTCCAAGTTGCTGATCACCTCCTACCCCAATGAGCACGCGGAAGTGTCAGGGGGGGAAGAAGCTGCAAGTCACCTGGAGACCTTACAACCTCACCGGCGGAGCCAACATTTGGGTCAGCGACGTGCCGGGACAGGTCGGACATCAGGGGGCGGTTCTTTTATGACAGAAGCTAGGTCACTGGCAGGTCAGAAAAGTGTAAAGTCCCAGTGGGATCTTTGTTGAAAGATGATGATGATGGGTAAAGATTCCGTGTAGATTCCAAGTCGGCATCGTCCCATTGTCCCACATCTCTGGAAATTTTATCAGTTGACTTTGTCCCAGGTGCAGGAAGTTGTCGCCCTACATGTGGATGGCGTGCGGGCCACCCGAGCGCGATATCCTAACATGCCACAGGGAGTTGAGGCCGATGCGCCGGACTTGGTCAAAAAGGTTCAAGCCGCCTCTTGTTACTAGTAGTAATGGCCTCCAACCTAGTAGCTTCTAGCTACTGGTTACTAGTAGCTTCTTGTTACTAGTCGGACAATTGAAGATCTACTCTATGTGCTAATTTCACTTGGAATATTATCTTGAAGTGACGTTTTTCGTGGTCCCCTGTTGGTACCCACGTGCAATACCCAAAAGTCTGGTTTAAGCAAAGCTCGGCGATCACAATTGAACAGATCGGTTTCTCACCTGAAAGTCGTGTGACTTTTTGGTGATTGTTTCATCCACCATGACCCTGCAGGTGACCTGCGGATATGGATGCACCATCGATGGCAGCAAACAGAC